TAATATACACAATCCAGACTCTGTGTATTTCCTATCTTTATATAGTTTATTTTTCTTACTCTATTACTTTTTTTTACAAGTTTAATATATATTTTACTATCTTTACTCCTTTAATCTATGACTATCTGGACTCCATCTTGTTAAAGACTTTACTTTTTTCATAACTGTCTATACTCTTTTTCCTCTCTTAAGCTTATATACATTTATCCAACACCATGACCCATTTAGAGGTCTTTTTCATCTGAATCTGTCTTTATTGCCTATCTGTAATTATTTTCTGACCAGAAGTACTTTTTTAAATCCCAAGTGGGCATGGGTAGGACAAATGCAGTCCTGCCTGTTGGCTCCGCCCAGTCCAACATGGCGAAGGCATGTTCACTGCCTTTGGGCATTGAACAATGAACATTGTCCCATTTTTAGACACACAGTGGGTCTTTGTTGTCATTAAGCAAGTTGTAGCACTCTGCTCACAAACCCCATTTAAATATTCAGCCTCCTGCAAGAGCCAGAGTTTGTGCTGACAGCATGGCTCAGGAAGCTGCCATTTTGAAATAGCATGGTTTTTTTTTCTACTACTGCTGAATCAGGAAGACCTCTCTTAAAGGAATTTTGCCTCTGTTTGCTAAAAGCAAAGACAAGACAATGCTGCTACCAAAGAGCCATGTTTAACTCTGTTCTTTTCTGTCTAAGATTTTTTTCCAAGCTTTCTCAGGTTTTACATGGATTTAGTCAGCCCCACATTGGTGCACCAAATTGTTGGCAGAGGACTGTCCTGCCTGATCCCACAATCAAAACACAGAAACTATATTACTTGCAATAATATTTGGCCAATAGCTTAAGCATATTTCTAGCTAGCTCTTATATCCTAAACTAACCCATCTCCATTAATCTGTGCATCACCATGAGGTCATGGCAAGTGATATATATGGGTCAGCATAAGTGCCCAAGTCAAGAATTTGATCTTGGGAAGCCTCAAATCCTTTTGATTTTCCCTGTTGTTCTAAAAATTTTTCCCTCTTCTTGTTAGTAGCATTTCTACAGTAGTTGTGGCTTCCAGGACTGCTGAAACTAACTGTAGCCAATCGTGTGGGATAGCTTTATAGGGTTCCAGATGGGGGCTCAAACCCCAGCTCCCCTCCCTTCTCCAGAGATTGAAGATGGATCTGTTTATCATTTATCATAGACCTCAATGGAAGCACTGACTCACAGGAAGTATTAGTCCAAGTACAAAGGTTATAGCCTATGTACATATGTATATGTGTGCATAAATGTATATATAATAATTATTGTGTGTATACGGCCATAATCATGCTCTACAGAACATTCACTAATTTTCTCCTAGTCTAGATGCTCAAAAAGTTGCAATTTCTCCTGTGTTTTATTAATCAAAACTGCAGGAGCTCCATCTTCCTCCCACATTTGCTAATTTCTGCCTTGAAATTCTCATTGGGTGGCAAAAATCTGGCTTCTGTTTAGTTTCATGGTACTTTTATGTTGTTTGAGGCTTGTCTTCCTCATCAAATCCTCAATGGGACAGAGGTTATATAAGATGATTTTATGTATTATTAGGTGTCAGCAGATGACTCAGAATGCAGCTATTATTAAAGGTATCTCAGGTCTACTAATGATGGCACAGCAGAGGTATAAGTGGATTATTTCCGTTCTTGGAAAGGTTTTCTCATTAGGTTTGTTTCATGAGGCCAATGGCTACTGACTGTGGTTAGTCATCAGAAAAAATCTCTGCCACATTTCTATATAAAATTTTCTGGGTTCTTGTATCCTCATTTTGCAGTTAGATTGTTCCCAGTGTCTACTTTCAGAATTTCCAGGCAAATCCCAAGCTCCCAATGGATTTGTTTTTCTACCCTATTAGGAGCCTTTGTTTAGAGACTTTCATCATTGCTTCCTGCATAATGAATGATCTGCCACCATGTCTCCCCTTCCCGGGAAAGCTAACTCTCTCATACGTTCAACACAAGACAATCCAGGGAAAAACAAAAACATGTGAGACTAGAGTTCAGACAAACAGTCAAACAAAAGGGAAAGAAAAGAATATGCAGATTAAGTAAAAATTGCTCAAATATTACCACAAAAGACCTAATGATTTATAACAAAGGCGGATGTGTAATTTCCTTGCATGGCAAGGAAAATGTTAGAAGTGCCTGCCTAGTGGTGGGAGTTAGGCCTAATTGACATCTCTAAAGACCTCCTGAGGGGCTACACATATTATGTGGTTGGCAAAGTGCTTGCAGAACAAATCCGAGAACCTGAGTTCAGATCCCTTGCACTCATGGGAGAACCAGGTGCTTTGATGTTTATCTGTAAATCCCTGCTGGGAAGGATATCAGCATTCACCACGAGCCAGTCTAGATAATCATCAAGCCCCACTTCTTCTGTCTATAGTGAGAGACATTGTCTCAAAAAAAAAAAATTAGATGCTGGAAGGAGACACTCCATATCAGCTTCCAGCCTTCACATTCATGTGTACACATACGCACAAATACTCACGCACATGCACGTGTACTAAAGAACATGTTCATATACCAAAAATAAAGACCTTACTGGTTATCACTATTATGTTAGCAGGATAACAACATTGCAGCAAATCAATCAGTGCTTATTAGTTGATTACACTCATCAGGCTGTGAGTTTGAAGAACAGGGGCAAAAGCTATGCTCACATATTTATAAGGCTGAAAGTCCATAGAAGGTGGCCATATGGAGGGGTGGAGGACTCGTTCACATTATAGATCTAATTGAGAGGTGCCAGCTGCTTATTTAATGTGAAGATTTGATGGAGGTGTAGATACGGAGCAGCCTTGGCGGTCTTTCTTACTGCAGGCCTCCCACTGGCCACAGAAGCAGGAATGGGTTGCCATTGGTCCTCGATGCATATTTTCTGATGCTTTCAAAAGTGTTTATTGATGTTCCCACACAAGCACATGTGAACTGAGTGGTTCAGTCTTTAGAGGCATAGTTTGTAAGTCAGCTGCCAATACGGTGATGTTCCAAGTGTAAGGAAGTCACTGGTTAGTATTTGGACATAGGTCAATTGAAGAGTTGTAACTGATCTAATGAGTAAGCTTAATCACATGACCCCCAAGTCCTCTTCACGATGGCCGTGAACTATCGATTTGATCCTCATCATGAGGGCTTCCAGGTTTAGAAGCTGCGGGTCATTTGTCCTTCAGATGTAAAGATGTCACAATGAGGTGCTACCTAACAAACTACTCTGTTGCTTATGTTGAGCTACAATTTCAAGCCCTTATTGCTTCCAGGGCTTTTCAGAACTGTTGAGGCTTTCCAGTTCTTCTTGACTCTGGTTCATAGTTCCTAGGATTGAAGTACTTGTGAAGATTATTTCCTCTTTTTATTTTTTACCTTATCTTTAATTGTACCCTGTTTTCTATTTATAATGTCTGAAGCACAAATAATAAAAACTCAGAGACAGATATTGGGGTTCAGTCTGAAGACCAGAAAGGCAAAGCAGTCAGTCACTGGCTCTTACTTTGACCTCAGTCCAAAAATGGCGATCCTGCCTCCAGGAAACCTCAGGATGAGAATGAGACTGAGAGCTGTTTCCTCCCATTTTATAATCCTCTCTAGTTTTGGGAGTAAGGGCATGCACTACTATGGCCTGGTTTCTATGGCAAGCTAGTGTGGCTACTGGGATTAAAGGTGTGTGTCATTGCTGCCTGGTTTGTAAGGCTGGCCAGGGTGACTGTTTTACTTTTCTGATCTTCACGCAAGCTTTATTTACTAAAATACAAATGAAAGGCCACTACAGACGTCTCTGATAGTTTCCTTTTTCCTTTATTAGTTGTGTTGACTATTACATATTTTGTTTGAATTTGTTGATCTACTATATTCTTGTATATATAGTAGATATATATACAAGCAAAAGCAACTCTTTTGCTTTTCCTTTTTTCTAATTTTATGACTTCTGTTACCATTTTCATTTTCTTTTCCCTCATTCTTTATTTCGGTATATCTTACTTTTCATTTTCTAAATTTTTTTAAATTAGACATAACACAAACATGTTCAGCTTAATTTCTGACAGATGTGCTTATAAGAATAAAAACCAGGCATATTGGTACATGCTTTTAATGCCAGCACTTAGGAGACAAAGGCCTGATCTCTGAGTTCAAGGCCAGCCTGTTTACATAGCGAGTTCCAGGCCATCCAGGGATATACAGAGAGATCCGGTCTCAAAATGAAAAAAATCCCTTAAAGGTGGCTACGTCCCCGTGTGTGTCTTAAAGTGTAGTACATTATCTTATGCTGTTAATTTTTTCCAATGTTCATTTGTATTTCATTATAACTCATGAATTATTTGGCAAAAATTTTCTTCTAATTTCCAAGTATAAGATAATTTTACTTATCTGTTTATTATTAAATTCTAAATCTGTCATTCTGTGGTTGAGGCATATGGTCTTTATCTAGAAAATAAAGCAGAACCAGTAGACGGGAGGCTTGTATCACAATTTCCATTAATGTGCTGAGCCAACATGGAGTGTAGGACCCCTAAAGCATGTCTTTACACACTGTCTAGTAAGTAACCCTGGAGAACATGGGCCACAGACACCAAGGACAGAGGAGAGGTGGTCAAAGACTATTGTTGGAGGCTGCTTGTTAGTTCCCAGCTGCCCAGACCCAAAATAATCACACAGAAACCATATTATTAGAAATTCTGTTTGGTCAATAACTTAAACGTATTTCTAGCTAGCTCTTATATCCTAAACTAACCCATTTCCATTAATCTGTGCATCACCATGAGGTTGTGGTCTACCAGCAAAGTTTCAGTGGGCTCCAGTGGCGGTTTTTTTTCTTGACCCTGTTACATGGCTTCTCCCTGACTCCACCTACTCTCTTTCTATATATATCTCTTTCAGCCTGGCTTTACTCTGTTAAGCCATTGGCTGAAAGCAGCTTCTTTATTAACCAATGGCAATAAAATATATTCACAGCATATATAACCTCTCACATCAGACTATCACTGTTTAAATTGAAATTTTTATTCTACTGAAGTAGAGGGAACATAATGAAGAAACAAATCATTTTATAAAAAAATGAACATGATAATTTATAAAACTGTGATAAGCTGCGTACATCATGCAACCCATCAAAAAACCAAGTAGGAGCATCATGCCTGAAACATAACTAACCAAACACAGAGTAGGCAGAGAAAGCGACCCACAGATACAGACTTGGAGTATTAGTTGGGGAACATTCTGGAAAAAAATCAGCAAAGGCTAAATCTGAAGAAAGAGTTAAGTGATGCGTGGAAGAAGAACAAGCTCAAGGTCATTAATTTCATTACCAGGAAGAAGAATATGCAAATAATAACCACAGGGAAAATTTGAATGAATTATAAAGGCTCAGTTACCCAGATAAACAAAGGGACAGACATGTCATGTTGAGAGGATCGAGGCCAAATGAAGGATGGGAACAAACTTGTGTCTGGACACATTATACATACACCCATCTATTGTTGATTTTTCCATTTCTGGTTCTTGGAGGAATTCATGTGTCTGAGAAAGGCAGAGGTCTAGCTCACATTTTGAGACAGGGTTTCTCACAGAAACTAGAGCTCACCAGTTGGCTGGGCTACCTATCCAGGGTCTGCCTTTCTCTGCCTCTCAAGCTCTGAGGTTGCAGATTTTTATGTGGGTGCCAGGGATCTAAGCTCACTCAGATCCCCCTGCATGGGTAACTCACATGTCAGTCACCGAGCCATGTTCCCAATACCACCGATTTCTTTGGATGAGAAAGACTACTTGGTGGATTTCCAAGACTTTCCTCACACTCGCTCTGGGAAGTCCTGTAGAATGTGAGCTTTGCTTGGTTGTTTGGGTCAGTCTCATTAATTTACCACGACAAATTAGGACAAATTCTTCACACATACTGCTTGTGTGAGGAAACAGCAAACACACATGTGAGCGTTCTGGGCTCTGTCTTTTGCTGTGTGTCTTGCCAATTTATGAATTTCACAGGCAAATGAGTATTTTAAACATTATATTTTGGGGGGAAATAGTAAGATGATTCTTTTAATGCTTTTATCCACACGATACACGAGTGTCTAGCGAACAATGGAAGCAAGTTCTGAAAGAGAATGCAAGGCTAATTGTTTTTCCAGTTCTAACTCTCAGATGGATGTTTTCAGTGTTGGTGATGGAACAAGGCAGAGGAAGAAACTTCAGAGCCGAAGGATGAAGGATGAAATCCACGGAGCACTTACCAGATGGAATTTAAATTTTCCGTGTTTTGAAACAAAGTTGCCACAGTAATAGGTATAGAATACGTATGTATCCTGTCAACAATAAGCTTTTGGGTTGTGATACATCTGTCTGTTTGTTGTACTTGATTTCACTGCAGGTATTTCTGGGACAAAGGGACGTTTCCTTAATGTAAATCCTAATGGATAAAGAGGTAGCCCCCAAAGCAGACATTTTCTACTCTGGTTGTCTTTGCGTCTGTTTGCAGGACGGAAAGACATGACTTTCTTTCCCTGGAGTCTTAAGAACTTCCATGTTCTGACTTTAACTTTTTGTCACTTTTTTTGGGACAATAAAAGATATTTGTTGGAGTGTTTTAACTTTTATTACCTGCGATATTAAACATGTCTATCAACCATTCAACTTCAGTTGCCCACAAATTATGGGGGAAAAAGTGTGCTCTGTTTCCAAAAAAACCAAAACTTTTAAATCTGAGCCCTCTCTCTATCCCCCACGCCTGCATGCAGAGAGGAAGTAGGTCCTGTACACAAGTCGTCCCTTACAGATGATTTAGGCTCCGGATTCTTGGCAAGCACCTTTTACAAACTTCCTTCCTCTCTCTTCAGATGGGGACAGTATAATTTATTATCTCAGTAAAGGTTCGAGTGTGTTTCCTAAAAATGACTTATTCTCCTCTCGAAAATCTGGGCCCAGAACAGAACTGCTGGCTTTCACATCTGGGCTATAGTCACTTGTAAAAAAGTTTTTATGAATCTTGATAACTTTTCAGGGAAAGCATTGACGAAAAGAGGTCTTATAAGCTGTAGTTCTCCTAGGCCTCAGGTGGGCGGGGATTCCTGTGCAGATCGCGTCCTCACTGCCTCTGTAAATGATTTTTATTATACCTGAGCACAGGTCACAAAACTGGGTTAAGAAAATGGACTAAGAGTGACCTTTAGTGGTCACTTTGGGTAATCACAAAAGGCTGTGATGTCTGTCTCAAGGGACCTGATGGGGCCGGTGAACTGGCCTGGGGACTAGAACCAGAAGGTAGTGAATTAGGACTAACCACAGCACTTGTTGGCCTTTCAAAGTCACTCTGCAGCAAGGGGAGATCAAATCCTGCAAGCCAGAGCTCAGGAGATGAAAAGGTGCATGGTTAATTGGCAAAGGGAAGTCCCGTCACACCTATTAGCACAACTTAGGAGATTTGGTGCCTAAATCCTATGTACAAACAGACTGGGAAAAGCACCTTTTAATTGAAGCACAAAGATTTCGCTTCCCACAGATTGATTAAAAAGCCACCTGGCAGTGCTTTAAATCTACACAGCAGGTGGAGGCACGGGGCGGGGGAGTGGGGGGAAAGGAGGGCTTGCTGGTTAGCCCCACATTTGACTTAAAAGGATGAGAACCCATTCCCACTTAGAGGGAAATTCACTATTGATGGGAACTAATGCTCGAAACTTGCTTTCCTTTTTTTTTTTTTTTTCCGTTGAGGAATGTCTTAATATACTTTCCATAATTCTGCCTTAAAATGTAGGGAATTCCTTGATGAAGTCATTTCACCTACATGCTGTTCTCTTAACTTCCTAGTCTAAGATACATCATACAGACATGCTTCTGGGGGCACACTGGAGCCAGACTGGAGCATCAAAAATATTATACATATCCACACACCTGCTTTTCAAGATGCCATGCTATGTCCAGTGAGTTTACTGTCACCCATGATCCGATAACTTGTTTCTGGTAAGCGTCGTTGGTTCTATGGGAAGTAGGGGTTGTCTCGATTGTTCGTGCAGGTTGGGGAAACACACTCTGAATGTGGGTGTTACCATTGCCTAGGCAGGGCTCTCAGATGCGGTAAAAAACAAAAAACAAGCAAGCAGGTGTTGGCATGTTTATTCTCTCTGGATTCTTCCCTGGGTTGTGATGCCTGAACTCCTATGTTGACGGCCCCAAGGTCGTTTGACTGCGGTCAGATTCATATACCTATTAAAGCCCTTCTTCCCTGTGCTGCTTTTTGGTTACAGTACTTCATCATAGCTACAGAAACAAAAATAGAGTGGCCTGGGTGGGTGAGCACTGAGGTCACCCACATCAGTGGGAAAGCCACAGTTGATCCTGCAATTTCAGCCCTGAGCCAGTGCTTAGAACTCGCCCCTGAAGGAGGAAGGACTCTTGGTGACACTGTGGCAAATGTTTTCAGCAATGGAACAAACACATTCATGACATGTGTATGGTGATAGTACATTGGTCCTTTCAGAAACCATTTTCTGGAGTACATACATGTTTGGTCCCAGGGTCCGTACACTGCTGCCCATCAGCTGGTCACCTCTGTCATGATAGAATATGCCAGTGTCCAGGAATAAAGAAATGCACATTTGGGTTGGGTTCTCCCCAATGCCCGAACACCTGCTGGGTGTCCCCTGGATTCTGAACCCAAAACTGGGGTGGAGGATATCCAAGTATGAAGGACCCTCCATCTCCTCTGTCTATCATGAGAGCTTATGTAGCAGAAGCTGATGAAAGCAAGGAAAAGTCCATGTCACCAGAAGCCACCACACAGCAGGACTGTTCAGGAAAGCAGTGGTGATCTCGGAAAGTCCAGGGCCGGAGCACAGAGGAATTTGGCTCGCAGGCTTTATAGGTCTGGTAGGGTGGCAGTGCCTCCAGTGGGCTTGCAAATTTCGTTGGCTTGAGACCATCACGCTGTGTATTAAACTCGCACTAGTAATGTTGATTTAAACAAAACAGAGTTGCTTTAGTTCCTGGGGAAACTGGATCTCCTTTTCAGGCTGCTCTGGGTTAATCCACACAGGTCTGCTGCAGTGTTTCAGGACAACGGCCTCTCCCGGAAGGAAGTTCTTTGTGGAAGTGAACAAGGAAGAGAATTAGTGAAGGTGTTCTCCAGTTTAAAACAACAACAACAAAACAGCAACAACAACAAAAACAACCAGAACAGAAATCTGACTCCTAGCTCCCAGATATTGTCAATTCCCTGTGTTTCAAAAAGCTAGAAGACAGACATTATTTTGACGGATTTTGGTGAAAGAAATAGGAAGTATTTGGAGAGATAGAGATGTTTAGCAAACTTTAAATATGTATCAAAACATCAAATAGCATTCTACAAGTATGCACACTTTTTATGAATCGGTTAAAGGCAAATTGAAGTAAAAATAAATGTAGAAATTGTAAAGGTAAATATGCTGAATAGTCTAAAATAGAAATCTGACTTTTAGGTAATATTTTTAGTTTCAGTAAATGGGGTGTCTAGAAGGTTCCCCCAAGTACCCACATCCAATAGACAGGAACTAAACATTCAAGAATCAACCTTGAACTTTGGAATCTAGGTACAAAGGTCTCTGGAGATTTATCTGTGAGAATAACATTAGAGAAATTGTTAGTTTTGCAAAAACTGGCTGAATTCTAGCACGTTTAGTAGTTTGCTTCTAACTTTATTACTCCCCCAACAACAACAACCACAGCAACAAAAACCCCTATTAATTGTAGTTTTACAAATGCATTTGCTTAGGGTATATAGCAGAAAGGTTTATTGTAAAATGCCCCACTATAGTCTTGTTTCAGCATTAATAAGCAGTTCTTTATATAAATTGTTTTTTGTGTGTGAAGCATGTGTCTGTGTGTATACATGTATGTGCATGTGTGTGTGTAAATGCAGGCACATCTATGCAGGTCAGAGCACTGCCTTAGAGGTCATTCCTGTCCTTCACTGTTGCTTAAAACATAGTCTCACTAAGTTGTTCAGTCTAGGCCTTGAACTCACTCTGTGTTCCCAGCAGGTTTTGGTCTTATCATCAACTTTTGATGTAGCTGACATTAAAGATCTGTGTCAGCAGGTTAGGCTACTAATTTTATATTTGTATTTTATATTTTATCTCTCCTTAAGATGTGGTCTTTGTAGTGATATGGTAGCTGCAATATCAAAGAGTAGAAAGCTGTAAATACCTCTGACCACCACGAAGCAGTTACTACTCGGGCTGCATCTCCACTATTTTGTTGTTGTTGTTGTTGTTGATACTGTTGTTGGTGGTGGTGGTCATGCAAGCAGTGGTCTCAAACTCATAGAGTTTCCTACCTCTGACTCCTAAGTCCTGGAATAAAGGTGGATGCCCCCTCTAGTTTATTATTGGCATCTTGAGAGCAGGAACAATTGAACTTCTAAAGCCACACAATTAGTGGGCCAAATTACATCTGCTGGCTGGTAGAGCAGGGGGCATGGAAGGGAGTTTGGGACTAGCTGTTTTTCTTTCTTATATCCTTTTATTGATGGAGGAGGGTTATCTGTCTATTGTGTTATTTTCATTGGTCAATAAAGAGACTGCCTTGGCCCTTTGATAGGATAGAAACTTAGGTAGGCGGAGTAAGCAAAACAGAATGCTGGGAAGAGGGCTATGAGGCAGACGCCATGGAGCCAGACACCAGGTCAGACATGCTGAATCCTTCCTGGTAAGCCACCACCTCGTGGTGCTACAAAGATTATTAAAAATGGGTTAATCAAGATGTGAGAGTTAGCCAGTAACTAACTCTCTAGAGATAATTGGCCAGGCAGTGTTTAAATGAATACAATTTGTGTGTTGTTATTTTCGGGGCTAAGCTAGCTGTGCGGGAGCCGGGCAGGATGAAAAGCAGGCCTGCCCGCAGTCCCTCACTACATTTTATAACCTTTTGAATTTCTTTTGGACGTATTGGAGCTAACACCAATACTCTTCAAATTATTACACAAAATAAAAACAGAAGGAACTTTGTCCAGTTCATTATATGAGGCCACAATTACCCTGATACTCACACCACACAAAGAATCAACAAAGAAAGAGAATTACATACCAATTTCCCTTATGAGACTATAAATAAAAAATACAATAAAATACTTACAAACAGAATCTAAGAACACACCAAAAGGATCACCAACTATGATCAAGAAACCTTCATCTTGGAGTTGCAGGGATGGTTTGAGATATGAACATCACTAAATGTAATCCACCACATAAACAAACTGAAAGAAGAAAAAATCACATGATCATCTCAGTAGACGAAGAAAAGGCCATGCAAAATTCAACCTCCTTCATGACAAAAGTCCTGGAGAGATCAGAGATACAAGGAACATATCTAAACATATTAAAGACAATTTGCATAAAGTCTAAAGCCATTATCAAAGCAAAAAATCAGGGACAAGACAAGGCTGTCCACTCTTTCCATATCTATTCAATACAGTACTTGAAGTTTTAGCTAAAGCAGTAAGACAACAAAAGCAGGTCAATGGGATACAAATTGGAAAGGAAGAGGTCAAAGTATCCTTATTTGCAAATGATGTATCATGTATATAAGTGACCCTAAAAATTCCATCAGGGAACTGCTAGAGTTGATAAAGACTTTTAGTGAAGTGGCTGGACACAACATTAAATTAAAGAATAAATCTGTATCCCTCCTATATACAAATGGCAAATAGACTAAGAAAGAAATCAGGGAAACAACACCCTTCACAATAGCCTCAAATAATAGCAAATATCTTGGGGGGTGATTCTACATAAGCAAGTGAAAGATTTGTGCAATAAAAACTTTAAGTCTTTGAGAAAGAAATTGAAGAAGTTATCAGATTAAGGAAAAATTTCCCATGCTCAAAATTGGCTATTTTACCAAAAGCAATCTATAGATTTAGATGCAATCCCATTCAAAATTTCAACACAATTGTTTACAGATCTTGAAAGGACAATTAATTCTCATTTTTATATGAAAAAACAACACACACACACACAAAAAAAAACCCAGAATAGCTAAAACAATCCTGAACAATAAAAGAACTGCTGGACGTCTCACCTTCCTTGTTTTTAAGTTGTACTACTGCATTGTAATAATAAAAACCACATGGAATTGGTTTGAAAATAAACACACTGATCAATGGAGTTAAATTGAAGACCCAGACATAAATATACATACCTCTGGAAGCCTGGTTTCTGATAAATAAGTCAGAAATACATATTGGAAAAAAAGACAGCATCTTCAGCAAATGGTGCAGGTCAAACTGTAGAATAATGTAAATAGATTCGTATTTATCAATATACACACAAAACTCAACTCCAAATGGATCAAAGACCTCAATATACAGCCAGATACACTGAACTTGATAGAAAAGAAAGTGGGAATAGTCTTGAACACATTAGTACAGGAGACAGATTTCTGAACAGAACACTGATAGCATAGGCACTAAGATCTATAATTAATAAATGGGACCTCATGAAACTGAAAAGCTTCTTAAGGCCAAGGATACTGTCAATAGGACAAAACATAAGCCTACAGAATTGGAAAAAAAATCTTCAACAACCTCACATCTAATAGAGGACTAATATTCCAAAATACATAACTCAAGATACTAGATATCAAAAAACCAAATGATGCAATTAAAATGGGGTACAGATCTAAACAGAGAATTCTCAGTAGAGGAATCTCAAATGGCTAAGAAACACTTAAGGAGATGCTCAACATCTTAGCTATCAGGAAGTGCAAATCAAAATGACTCTGAGATTCTATCTTATACGTGTCAAAATGACTAAGATTAATAACACAAGTGACAGCTCATGCTGGTGAGGATGTGGAGAAAGAAAACACTCCTCCATGGCTGTAGGGAGGGCAAACTTGTACAACCACTCTGGAAATCAATATGGTTGTTCCCAAAAATCTTGTGACTCAGTCGATGTCAAGATCTAGCTATACCATTCCTGGGCATAAACCCAAAGGACCCTCAGTCCTGCCGCAAGGACACTTGCTCAACTGTATTCATTGAATCTTTATTCATAATAGTCAGAAACTGGAAACAACCAAGATGTCCTTCAACTGAAGAATGAATAAAGAAAATATGTTATATTTACACAGTGGAGTGGCACTCAGTTGTTTTTAAAAATAACATGAAATTTATAGGCAAGCAGATGAAACTAGAAAAATAAACTCATCCTGAGTGAAGTAATCCAGACCCAGAAAGAACAATATGGTATGTATTTACTTATATGTGAATATTAGTCATTAAGAAATTGATAACTAACCTACAATCCACAGTCCCGGACAGGATAGGTAAAGAGGAACTTTTCAGGGGATGCATGGATCCTCTGGTGAAGGGAGAATAGAACAGATTTTACATTTGGACTGTGGGTGGGTGGTGAAGAGGACACGGATGGATCAGGTGAAGGGGGGAGATGGATTGGAGAGAAAGACAGCTGGAATTGGGGGGCATTTGTAAGTGGTCTGGAAATAGTGCAGTGGAGACTTCCTGTAATCTATGAGGGTGACCCTAGTGAGCACCCCTAGAAATGGGAGGATACGGAGTCTCAACTGGCTATCTTTTGTAGCCAGCCCAGCATTCCAGTAGTGAGACTGGGTTGCATTCAATTAAGTTGTTGTATGAGGGTGATCCCCAAATGACCCAGGATGATCCAAAAACTGACAGTGGGGCCCCAATCCTGAGGACAACATCCACACCGTTCATTGGACACTCGTTGGTTTGGAATGGTACTCTGAAGACTATGGGAAGAGAAATGTGGACACCAACCCAGCCACAAAGCCTACATTCTGTTCTGCTTGCAAGATGCGCTGGGGCAGTAAATGCTGGCACAGAACTTGTGAGAGAGGCCAGCCAATGCCAATGTCTGGCTTCACTTAAGGGTCCACTCCACAAGAGGGAGCCCATGCCCTATTATGCCTGGATGTCCAGAATCAGAAACTGGATAGCCCAGAGACCTGGGATAGAAGCAAACATGACTGGCCAAAATAATAATAATTAATAATAATAATAATAGTAATAATAATAATAAATAAAATAAAAAGGAATCAACGAAATGATTTCTAATGATAGTCTACTATATTCATAGATCAGTGCCTTGTCCAGTTGTCATCAAAGAGGCTTCTTCTGACAGCAAATGGGAGTGGGTGCAGAGACCTACAGCCAGACATGCAGAACGAGAGTCTAAATTCCCTCAGAGCTCAGGGATCCCCTCCCAGAAATATGGGAGAAAAGATGGTATAAGTCAGAGGACATAGAGGACACCAGGGGACATGGCCCACTGAGTCACCTAAGCAGGGCTCACATGGGTTCACAGAGACTGACATGGCACGTATGGGGCCTGCAGGCATCTGCACCTCGCCCTCTGCACATATGTTATGACTGTTAGCATGGCGTTTTTGTGGGACGCCTAACTGGGGGAACAGGTGTATCTTTGACTTATTAGCCTGCCCTTGGGACTCTTTTTCTTTTGCTTTGCCCAGCCTTGCCCAGCCTTGGTGGAGAGGGATTTTGCCTTGTTTTATTGTATTTTTTTTTGTCTTGCTTGTTTGTGATATCTTGGAGGCCTGTTCTTTACTGAAGGGAGTTGGAGGGGAAGTGGCCCCAGGGGAAAAGGAATGTGTGGAGAAGCTAGGAGGAATGGAGAGTGGGGAAACTCTGGTTGGAATTTATTGTATGAGAGAAGAATCTATTTTCATTAAAAAATAGTTGTGTGTGTGTGTGTGTGTGTGTGTGTGTGTGTGTATGGGCACCATTGGAAGCTAAAGCTGTTGAGTTCCCCGGAGCTGGAGTTGCAGGTGGTTGTGCACTCCCAGACCTGTGTGATAGGAAGGGAGTCCTGGTCCTCTGCAAGAGCAGCAAGTGTTCTTAATCACTGAGTCCTTCTTCCAGCCCCTGTTCATTTTCTTCTCCGTGAACTTCTGGCATGGAGATAGCCATGTCCACCTTGGTAGTTTCTAGCCTACAGAGGTCTCCCGTGAAGGAGATCAGTGAAATTCAACCTTCATGTCATAACCCCGCTATGGTGGAGGACCTGTTCACAGACTACTTCATCTGACTTCTTTCATATGTAAGGAATTTGCCCGAGATGTATAACTTACGAAACATCCCTATTATTTGGAGAAAACAACCGATGTATAATGACTGGGGTAACTTCCTGGCTCCTTTCACACTGCTGCTCCTCAGGACAAATGCCCAGCATGCACTCCACAGAGGCTTCTTTCCTAAAGCCCCACGCTGAATGGAACATGGCTGCCTCTACTTCCTCCTCTCTTGCAAGAAGAGGTCATGTTTGTTTAGCACGCTCGTGTCTGTTCAGCTCACACACGCCGCAGCACCTGCCAAAGCACACAGTCCCCAAACCACTCATTCTCCAGTACCCTCACTTTCTGATCCTTGGCTGTCATTACAGGAACTGGATCTAGCTAGACTTTGCCTTTGCTGCAACAGGGGACTATCAGGGCACCTTGTGCAATAATTCGCAAACAGTGGCTTGGGAGAAGTGGGACATAGAAAAAACACATTTCACACTCTGACCTCTCTACGTTGTCACAGGGTCTGTTTGACTGGGCTGGGTTCCCAAGGCATGTGGGGATAAGAAAGAAAGAAAAACAAAAAGGGGAAAAAAAGAAGGTAAGAGCTTAGAGAGGTGGGAAAGCTGAGGTTAAGTCTCGGCTTATCTAATTAGCATGACAACTTGTACAAGATACTGTTATCTTTAAGGCTCAGTTTCTCCATTCATAAAATCTGGAAAACGTGAGCTGGCTGGCTGGCTAGCTCCGTTGGAAAAGGGTCTTGCTGTCGGGTCTGCTGTCCTGTATATGGGACAGGTAAATAATTAGCAGAGTCGAGCGTGTGGTGAATTTCTTTTTGCTGTTGCTGTTGGTGCTGTAGTTGGGGTCATTAGTGAAATTTTACGTGGTCTCAGGTTTACTTGGCCCCAGGACAAAATGGCTGCACATCTGACAAAAAGCTTATGGAGGCAGGGTTTACTTTGGCTCACAAGAAAGGCATGACAGCAGGAGCTGAAAGAAACCAGTCACATTGCTTCCACAGCTAGGAGGTTACACACAACTGAGCCTAGGCTCCCAGAGTTCAGGGCTCGCCCTCCAGGTCCTCACCAAGGAAGCCCTGCCCCCTAAAGGTTCCATAACCTGCTACAGAGTCACACCAGCAGGAGACCAAGTGTTAAAAGACAATGCCTGTGCAGACATTGCACACCCAAGACAACGGTGGCTGAGGTGAAACATCTTTCCGCCATATCTAATGCTCCCACATAAGACAGCCATGGCCATTGTGCTGCTAGAGCTGAGAAAAACTTCGTAACTGTGGGGACAAGAGTCCTTAGACTCCCCTTGTCTATGGAAATTCCAGCAGGGACACCTCTTCTTGGACAGGCAACCCTGAAGTGTGGCAGCTGGTCCATGAGAATTGACTTTTAAGAGCTTCAGACAATAGGACATAACTCTCCTCAGTAGGCCTGTCTTTACACTACTGGAGTAGACACTGGGGTGGCTGAGTGTCTGTGTGGTAAGTTCTTGACTCTAATGGTGCCTGAGAGACTGCGGTACCTGTTTGTCATGACTTGAAGCTGTGAGAAGTTTAGCACTTTTTGTGCTGTTAAAAGGTCCAACATTCTAAGTCAAAGCCTTCCACATTTGGTTAGCTTCTGAAAGCTAAAGGCGTACAGCCTTCAGGGACCATAGACTAGGTGAACAGGTTCAAAGGCTTGAAACGGCAAAAAGTCACAACAATGGAAATAAGAACAATGGCAATAATAAATGGCATAAGACATTTGATCAACTCAAGATTCAGGCAAATATTTCTTGAAGTGGTTTTAATAAGATGGGAGAACAAAGGCCCACGCGTGTTTATTGGTCAGTGAACTGCTAGTCTCTCTGGAAAATGCCTCCCCGACTTATTTCTGCTGGATGGAGATACCAGTTTACACAAAGCTCTCTCTTGCTGGCTCCTGGCTATCTCTGATGGGTTGCCTTGGTGTCTGCTGGGTTTGGCAGAGGCAAACGAACCAGTGTTTGTTGGTCGTCTCCCTCCCCAGCTCACTGCCGAGCAGAAATTCCTTCCTAGGACTCTGACTTCTGTTCTCTGTAACCAGGAAGCCACTTTTCAAACTGTTTAAAAGCGTGCACTCGGGCATGGCAAGCTTGACCACTGTAGGAGCTGCTTTGTTTGATTGACCGCCTTGTTCTTTCCTCTCTCTTAGCAGCCCTTCTGTTGATTTAGGGAGGACTCAGTGAGAACGCTTCAGAGAGCTTTTTTTTGTGGTTTCACAAATCACCCCCCGTCTGTCCCTCCTTTATCTCTTCCGACAAGAGCATATTTAGTGTCACCATGTACAGTCGCTTTTGCCTAGTTTGGCCAAATCCCTACTCATTCTCCTTTGATGTGAAAAACACTTAAATTTACCAAAACAGGAGAGAGAAGGTTGTCTTGTCCTTAATGTAAAGTCGGTTTTGTAACAGTGCCCTTAAGAGGTGAGTTGGTTAAAGTATCACTGCAATCTAAAACACTAGGTATCATTATCATCATCTTTTGTTTATGAATGAAACAGACTTATGAATGAAATAAGATTGTGCAATGATATTGGAGATGCTAAGATGGAGTTTTAGTGAAAAACAGAACAGAGCACATAATGGACCATATTATCATGTCACTAAAATGAAACCCAGTATATACATGTATAGACATACATATCTAAATATCCACATAGGGATGTTTGTCAGGAAATCCCTGGCTGTCATATCTCCAGAAGGGTCCTTTAGTAGAGCACCATTAGGATTATCTACAATGAGATCATTCGGAGGACAAGGTAACTTTTCCTTTCTAGAATCTTCTACAGTTTTTGAAAGCTACAGCATAAGAATGACTTAACTATATTAAAAGATAATATAATCTATCAGAATTGAAAATGTTCTTGTTTATGAGGAAAACTGACTGTCTACATGCTAAGATTTACATGTTACTATACAGTAATTAAGGCATCCACTTATTTTTATTATGTATATTACTGAATGGACTACATACCAGGGAGAGTAAAGAAGTTGGGGACGAGGTACAAGTCCCCACAGGGTTATAAGCAGGACTGCATTCTTGCTGGCTTGACTTGGTTGAACTGATTCAATGGCGTTTGCTTCTTGTGAAATTGCCACATTTGAACTTCCTTTGAAATTGGTTTTGTCTTCTCCCAGGCTTCAGGATCTATATGCCAAACAAAACCAGAACCCATTAAAGGCCCCATTGAATTTCCTGCACACTTGTGAATGTCTGTGGTTTTTCTCATCAAGCCACAAGAAAAGCAAGATGAAGACACGTGTGCCTTACCGCGGGGGCGAAGACTTCACATTCATTATGGATGAAAGACTCAGCCGGGCCCAGAAAGTTTGGATTAAGTTTGGCAAATTTATTGTTACTTTCCAGAAAACTAGCCAAATCTTGTGGGGAAGAGCAGGAGGGGGGCTGCTTGCCCACAGCCACATGCTCCCCTGTGCATCAAGCACACACTGAGATTTGGGCAATTGCTCTCTGGATTTAGGGGAGTTGGAAAGACCACTGACAGGCTCTAACCTTTTGGAATCTTTCCTCCACGAACAGACATTCTCATTGAAGTTTTTATTTTGAATTATGTGATTGCTGGTATCTGCCTCTTGTATTAAATCTAACTCGTAAAATGTCCAAGACTTTGTGATGTGGCTAGCTGTCAGCAAAGCATTGCTATGCAGGATAGCCAAGAGTCCTTCATGCTGTCAGGAGAGTGTCTTCACCAGCATTACTCATTTGAGAACAGGGTAAAAACTGTGCCCTGCTACACAGACACTTGCAAGGGCCTGGTATCAACATTTGGTCAGTCTTAGACCACCACCTCGTAAAGCAGCATGTACGATACTGGGTTTTCCTTTCTGTTGTTTACTGTAGACCTTTAGAAAACCACTTCACTGGCCCCAACACTACTTTCTCTAGAAGAAATAACACTTAAAATCCATATCCACATTAGAGGTCTAGCAGAAAACTATGGAATATTAAAGATGGTTAAATTAAGGGGACTTAATGAGGCCACTTAAAGTGCTGTAGGCACATTTAAGGAAGAAGAAATGGAAGGTGGAGAAGCCATCAGCAGGGCGTGGCCACAGCCATGGGCAGACTGGGAAGAAAATGTTTAATGGTGCCAGCCAGAACCCTGGCAAGAGAAGAGAGAGGCGCTAGTAAAATGGAAATATTGCATGTACAAAGATGCAACAGCACACAGGCACACCAGCTTTAATTTAAAATATTACTAAAATGTCCATGTCAAAATAATGAACTGTGTAAAGCTATCAATACATTTTGAGAGTGAAAGCGTTCTTCACACTACACTGCAGACAAAAGCAAGCACTGACACAAATGACTTAAAGTATTGGGAACTGTAAATTCTGGCATGCGTGGCTGTCCCTTAGCAGTTGAACTTGTGTTTTCTGTAGTTGACGTTAGCATTTGCTTCCTGTGTTGCTTCTGGCATTTGATTTTTATGGGCCCGCATGTAACTTTCTTATTTAATCTGTCTTGCAGCCATGCATTGTGGTTTTCGAATTTGGACGTGTGGCTATTTTATACTTTCAGCATACATTATCAAGTCTTTGAATGTTTTCTGTTTTCCCATTCAAGTGAGGTCATCACTTGTCTAGGAAAGAAGTTCTGCACCATAATCTCTCACTCCCTGACCATCTGTCTTAAGTGTCTAGGGGGTGTTTCTTGTGTAAAAGAAAAAGCCATGGTAATTTTATATTATTTTCTCTGTCAATGTCTTACCCTTAACTCCACTGGATAAAGACAAGTGATCGTTATCTTAGTTAGAACCCATAAAATTCTTTTTATTCCCAAAACTAGCTTCTAAATTTCCTTTCCTTAAGGTATTTTCAAAGTATGAAAATTTAGTTACCTACTTGAGAGAGCAAAATTTTAAGTAAAGTTTGTGAGAATTATATTTTGATTAAAAAGTTTTGATACCATTTAATACTTTATAGGTTTTATTTATAATTTTTGGGATATTTTCTTCTAAAATCATGGTCCTACACTTTTCTTTTTGCCATTTTTGAGATTATGTAGGCCAGGCTGGCCATGAACTTGCTATATAGTCAATGCTGGCCTCAAACTCCTGATCTTTTTGTCTCCGCTTCCCCAGTGCTGGGATTACAGACACGTGCCATCTTACTGAACTTGTTCTGTGTTTTGACCCATGAAATTCCTTTTTTCCAATCTCAGGCAATTTAACATTGTTAGAAAGGAGTTAATAGTCAAAGTTTCGAGCTTGGAAAATATTTAAACTTTTACTTTCCAACACACACATGCAGACACACACACACACACACACACACACACACACACACCAAAAAAAGTTCTAACACAGAAGTGGAAAAAAGCCTCAATTACAAGAGATATGGAAGAAAAAAATCATGGGAAGAATAGATGAACAAAGGAGACCTACGAAAGACTTGATCATGCCAGGCAGTGGTGGCACACCTTTAATCCCAGCACGTGAGTCAGAGGCAGGTGGATCTCTATGAGCTCATGACCAGCATTATCTGCAGAGTGAGTTCCAGGACACAGAGAAACCCTGTCTCAGAAAACAAAGCAAACAAACAGAAAACCAAAGAAATAATAAGATTATATCATGTTCAATTCAATAAATTGATATGAACAGGGAAGAATGCAAAGAATATCTATCTATCTATCTATCTATCTATCTATCTATCTATCTATCTATCTATCTATCTAT